GTAGGACTTAGAGCAAAACTATATGCTTATAAAACAGATGATGAAAAAGTTGGAAAACGTTGCAAGGGTATTAAAAGAATCGTCGTAAAAAGTAGTATTTCATTTGATGATTATAAAAATTGTTTATTCGAAGGTCAACAAACGATGAGAAAGATGAATGTAATCAGGAGTCATAAACACCAAATATACACAGAAACGGTTAATAAAGTAGCACTTTCAAGAGATGATGATAAAAGAGAAATAGAATCAGATGGTATTAATACTAAGGCTATAGGCTATAGAAATATTGATGAATGACTATATGATCATGATGCTAATGAGTTTATTAAGAGATATGAGGGTTGTATAGACCATTATGATAGGATAGCTTCACAGAAAAWTTTTAAACCAAAGAGATCAAGCAAATTATTTTAAAACACTATCAGGTGGTAATCGAGTATCTTCAGGAACAACTTGTAATTCTTCTCTGACGAAATTTCTTTTCGGTGCACCATCAGAGAGGTAATATAAGACAGGTTGATTAGCTGACACAACAGTTCTCAATATATCATATATTCCTAATGACCATATAGGATCTGTAGCTCTTTTATTACCACCTTCCAACTCACCAGGAGCGTATAGATATCTAACTTTCACACCAGGTGGAAGTCTAACTTCTTTCAATCCAACAGGTCTTTCGTAATTAACGTGGTTTTCATATACTTCTTTCAATTTTATTCCTTCGATAGGGGCTTTTCCAGTTATTCTCTTTACGCCACTGTTTATACCACGTATGACAGCTGGCAGCCTTTCAACCCATTCACGAGATCTTTCATTATTTTCAATTATCATTTCTTTTGCGTATTGATGACTAAATAGTTTCTCTGCAATGGCTCGATTAGCGCGCTCGACTAATGCTTGGGATCTATGGTTATTAGCTTCAGATCTTTGTACTTTAACAGATTTATTTTTCATTATTCTCGTAACTTCACCCATGAATTCAGTTCCAGGATCTACGATAATTGTTTCAGGCCATTTCAAACGTCTGGAATATATCTTTTCAAACCCTCTCGAAACCTCTACCGAATACTTAGACGTCAAGGGCTCAGCATCTATATATCTACTTGCAATGTCAACAACCACGAGAGCATATTTGTATAACTTTCTTCTTACTCTATCATGGGGTAAGAATAATAAGTCAGCTTGATGTATCTGATTAACCTCTTCAACGTTCCAGTGATATCTGGGGATATACTGTGGTTTTGGTAAATATATCTGCCATAATACCTGCTTTTCCAACCATTTTTTCACTATAGCTTTATCAATATTGGTGACATCAGCTAGTTTATTAATAGCTTCATAACCTTTCCAATAGCCTTGTGGGCTATAATAATGGTTTGTTAATTTCCTGTTATCCATATATAAATTATATAAAACAATAATCTTTTATAATAATATATATAATGAGTCAATCAATATCACAAGTGCTTGATGTTAATCATGAATCGAGAAAACCCTTCGCATTGAAAGCTGAAAGAACCCTGCATAGAACGACATTTAACCCTAGTAATGCATCACCAGGGGAAACATTGTATGTTAATATACCAAAACTATCAAATGGGTATGTATATGTTCCAAATAGCATTGCCCTAGTGGGTAACTTGACACTTCAGATGGGAAATGTTAACAATACAGTTATTAACAACCTAGGTAGGAATCTTATAGAAAGGATGAGGGTTATATATGGGGGTGAGGTCATAATGGATATTAACCGATATGATTTATACTATACGTATAAGGATCTGTTCAAGCTTGTTAGAGAACGTGATAACATGCTCCGTGAGGGTGTATCGAGTCTTAATATGCGTAAGCTAAGGACGAATGCTGGGGACAAGGTGAGTAATGATACTGGAGAAGTTGCTTTGGCTAATATCCATAGTAATAAGTATAAAATAGCAATACCACATGAAATTTTGGATAARCATGGTGTTTTGAATATGAGAGCTTTGAATAACGATCTTATGTTCGAATTGACACTAGCGCAGAGTAGCGCTATAGGTGTAACTAGCGATAATACAAAAACTTATGCATATAGCCTGAGTAATATCGAATTAGAGTATGAGACAATTCAAAGTGAATATTTTTCTCAAGATGCAGCTAATAGTTATCAACTTGGAAAAGGGTTTTACTATGAAAATGTACTGCTTCACAAATCAGATTCACCATCGCTAAAGCAACTGATAGTGTTATTAATAATCATGTAAACGTTCCAAGACGTAGTCTAACAGGTATCTTAATGCTGTTTGTGGAACCATATACAGGTGGTACAAGAAATAGCGAGAAGTTTGTAAATCCTAATATCACGAAAATTGAAATAAATATCGATGGAATGCCAAACAAACTATATAGTAAAGGTATGTTACCTACAGATATATGGGATAGTGTTATCAAACGATATGGTCTAAGTGATAATATCACACAAAAACAATTTTATACTGATAAATACGCTGTATGGATTGATTTAAGAACATTTTATGACAATCTTTTACACGGTGCAGGTCTCCATCTTAATAGCACGAAAGACGGTGTGCGTATCACTATTACCCGTACGACCGGGGTATCTGGCAACATTACATGCTACATGTATGTTGTGGCTGATGCTGTCTTCGAAGTGGAAAATTCTGATTTGAAATCAATTGTGTATTAAAAATTAAATTACTATTAATAATATATGGAAGAGTTAATACATCAAATTCCCTATAACTGTATAATAGTTGGTCCTACTAACTGTGGAAAGACGCGATTCTTAGTCGATACTCTTAGAGGGTGTTATAAAGACAAATTCGAGTATATTATCCTAGTTTGTCCCACGTATTCGAAAAATAAAACATACCAAGGTTTTGCTAATAATGACCCTAGGTTCATAGTAATTCAACCTGATAGTAGCGATATAGATGATCTTAACCAAATATTACTAGATGTCGAAACGGTTTTTAGTGGGTATACAACACTAATAATTCTAGACGATGTTGCATCTAGTAGTGAGGTAAAAAAACGGTCTAATCAATTCATTAACCTAGCATTTAGCGCAAGACATTCTAATATATCAATTTGGGCATTAACACAACATTTAACATCAATTGCTAAACCTTTTAGAGATAATATAAGCTGCATCATTAGCTTCTATTCAGTGAACAGAATATCTAATCAAACATTATTTGATGAATATGGTGGAGAGTTAGATACTGGGCTTAGGAAGCATTATATGGAAATACTAAAATCAGAAAAGTATGCTAGGATTTGTCTATGTCTACGTCATCCATTTAATTCATATGTAGAAATTCCGAAAATGCTTTAAGAGAAAATATGTATGTTAATTATAAGATGGAAACAGTTCTTGATCAGTTCAATGATGATAGCTTAGAAACCATACACGAAGAAGAGCCAATAGTGAATGAAAATAAACCGATTAGAAAGAAAAAGTTTATGGTTAAGAAAGACGATAGCCCAGACGTAGAAGAAAGACGTGAACAACTATCTATTTTAGCAGTTCTAGGAACAATCGAGGCATACACAGGTAATAAGATGAGTCTCGGGGATGTTAAGAAATTATCAGCAAAAGATGTTGATAGATTCTATAATAGATATCAAGTTATAATGGGTAATCAAGTTACTGGATCATTAATCAACACAAGCATCGATATTGCTACTGAGATATCTAGTTATGTACTACCAATCGATGATAAGGAATCACTATGTTCTGATCTTAARGGTAATCCAATGGTTAGACAAGAGCTTTCTAATATAGCTGGATATATCCTTTTAAAAGGAGGTCGATTTGTTGCTCTTGGAAGCGGATTACTCCAAATTATAAAACACATAGATTATAAAACTTTGGTTAAAAAGGAGGAAGGACCAACTGATGAAATTGATATGGATAAGTATATTAATAAAACTGTTGAGAAATCTCTTGAGCAGTCTTAAGCACCTCTTGAGCACCTCTTAAGAACCTCTTAAGCAGACCATAATTCTCTTGAGCAGACTCTTGAGCATCTCTTGAGCTAAATATATATAAATAATTATTTTGTTATTCATATATAGAATGTCTGAAAACGATAGCGCACAAATAGAACAAATAACTAAGATGCCTGAACAGAAAATAGAACGTATTAAGGATCCTAAGAAGGTAGCAGCAGGTAAACGTTTGGCTGACTATCATAAAAGAGCTAAGCAGGCTCTTAAAGCTGATACTGATAGTGAGGAAAAAGATAATGGTGAACATAAGTGGATGCCTGAAATATCACTAACAACTGCATTAACAATGGTTGGAATAACTCTGACTGCTGTCGATTTATATTTTAGATGGAAAAAGCAGAATAAACATGAGTTGAATGCACCTCATGCTGTCAATACAGATGAAAAGCCTAAATTAACAACACCCTCATCCATGAATGAGCTACGATTAACGTCAAAACAAACTAAATCGTCTAAAATACCAGTGCCGAGAATAGGTATGGAGTAAAATGGTATAAAAATAAAAATATTTATTAATATTATATAATATGTCAAGCTCAACAGAAAACAAATTGGTTAAAACTGTCATGGATGCTAGCGTAACTGTAGGAATTGCTGCTGGTATTGGTTATGTGGGAAAGAAAGTTATGAAAGAATCTTTTATTAATGACCCATCAAGCTCCCTGCCTAACTATGGAAAATGGGTCTTAGTTCTTGCTGGTTCTATGTATTTGAAGGACTATCTCGAAACTAAAAAGATTATACCAACAAATTTGTAATTGGTATAAAAATAAACATATTATAATATGTATATAATATAAATGGCAACGATAGCTGTAATGATAGCTGGGGCTGTATTAAACGCTACAGCATTTGTAGGTGGTTCTTATCTAGCTAAGACACTTGATGGGAGTTCATCTAAAGTCGATGAGGAGAAAAAAAGACATGATAAGGCTCTTGAAGAATATCAAAGACAAATGGGTGAGTATGAAAAGAAAAGACAGGCATACCAAGATTGGCTAAACAAGGAGTATATTGATAAGAAAAACGCTGATGAAGTTTTGGATAATACAGATATGGCGTTTAAACTATATAGTAAAGCTCATCCAGATGTTAAATTCGATATCGAGGATAAGCCTACGTTTAGTGATTATTATAAACCAAGTAATAAACAAAAACAGTA